AGGGAGGCGGGGGAGGGGTCGAGTGTGTGAGTGTGCATACGATGGAGGAGGGAAGGTGGAGAAGAGGGAAGGAAAGGGCAGGCAGGGATGAAGACGTACCGCCAGAAGTTAGGAAGCCTTTTAGCGCCAGCGTCTGTCTCCTGCGCGATGTCGAGGTGAAGGATCGGGAGGAGGGGAAAGGAAAGAGATGTCAGGCCTGCCACGCTCCTTGCATTCCATACCTGCCTGCCTGTCGCCTTGGCGTACCATGGTGGCGCAGTGGAGTGGAGCTTACCTGAAACCGGGAAACAGATGATGTCCCCAAAAGCACGCCGTGGCGCCGATGAGGGTCCAGATAGCCGCGCCCTTGATGGCCGCATTCTGTCGTCATGCCCGCCCGCGCCCCCGCGTGTCGCCTCGCGCATTCGTCAGTCACATCGCCCGCCGCAGAGCATAGTAAGGCAAACAAAGGAGGACCCGGACGTACCCGCTGGACCTCGTAGGCCGATTCGATCTGGTCTTCGCGGTGCCGGATGCGTTTGGGCGCGCCGCCCAGCGAGGATGTCGTCGTGGCTGACGGAAGCGTCGAGCCCGTTCTTGGCGCCGGCCCCGTTTCGGTGTCCATGCTTGCGTTGCGAGACGAGAAAGGTGGGGGAGCGTGGTGATGATGATGCTGTGGTGCTGGTGGTGCTGGTGGTAGTCGAGAGAGAGAGAGAGAGAGAGGCAGAGCCAAGGTGGAGGTTGGTGCTCCCCTCCGTCCGTCCGCGCCCGCCCGTTGGCGCCCTGCATGATGAGAAGATCCCACCGTGCCGCTGCTGCCTCGCAGCGCTCGAGACGGTTGTCGGCCGACTGCAGCAGCAGCAGCAGCAGCAGCAGCAGCAGCAAAGAGGCTGGCTCGTGCGTGCGCCCGCCCTCGCGCTAGACGCCGTCACGGCCAGGCCCGCCTCTGGACCCCCCTTCACCTCGATCCTTCGTCTCGATCCGCGATTCCACCCTTCGAACAACGCAGCCGGACAGAGAGGGATGAGCGAGTGTGGGTGCGTATTCGTATCTACGGAACAGCCAACGACGGGCAGGAACAACGTCTCCTCGACCGAGCCTTTGACGCTGGCCCTCCTCGCCCCCGCTGCTGTCCCTCTGCTCCCTCCTCTACCGTGTGGCTGGCGTCTAGGCTGGACCGAGCTGGGTTGGGCTAAAAAAACGAATGACTAAGGGTGAGAATGATGAGAAAAGGAGCGAACAGCCCGGCCGACACCGAAGAGTAGAATGAGAGGAGGAGAGACAAAAGAAAGGCAGGAGAGCAGGGGGGAGAGCCACCGACAGAAAATCGGGAAGAGAGAGAGAGAGAGAAGGAGAGTGAGAGAGTGGCCCCTCGCGTTCGTCTGCGGCAGGCCGACGAGAGGTGCGAAAAGGGGAGTCAACGGTGGGCACAAGGCGAGCAGGAAATGAGCGTAGTAGACGAAGACGGAGCGGCCCGAGGCGAGGCGGGCGGGGATCGATGACGGCAGAAACCAAGACCGAGGGAGGAAAGAGAGTCAAGACCATATGGGTGGTAGCAGCAGCAGAAAGAACAAAGAGTGTGTCGGTGTGTCGGTGTGTCGAGGCAGCGCGAAAAGCGACGCCGCTGCAATACCAAGTTGGCTTTATACGTCGGGAAGCTGGAGCAAAGAAAAGGAGCGAGCCGTCGCAGGCATGCGCATGTGGGTCGACGGCGTGCCCTGCCTCCGCAGCGCCGCAGCTCGGGCGAGCGCCGCAAAACAAGTCGAGACAGAGGCGCGTGGAGACCGGCGTCGAGGGAGAGAAAATCAAGGGGCAGAACCAGGGCGCATCTTTGGGTATCTTGGATCTCCACTGCCGTGCTTGTCAATCGTCCATCTCAGGGCGGCCCGGGCGAGCAGAGGTCGGCCGGGCGATCGGGTCGGGTCGGGTCGGGTCGGATAGGCCGTTACGTCCCCGGCGGGCCAGCAGGTCGACGACGGCCGTGGGTCCGGGGAACGCGAGGAGGGGGTGTGGAGGGGAGGGAGGGGGGGGGGGGGGTGGGGGGGCGTGGAGGACGTGGCCCGAAGGGCCGACGACCGAGGGG